TTAATACCTCTACTATCTTTATCACTATGGGATTTGATTTGACATTTGCGTCTCTGTGCTAATGTGGTATGGCAACATGAACTTATGTACATACGTACGTAGTTCTACGTTGCAACTGACTGACTGATCAAGATAAATGTTAGAGTGGAGTGGATTAATCATCATTGTACATCTGATGTAACAGTGTAGCTGAGCTATTGAATATCAACTCTGTTTACTTAACTTGAAGCTTTCATTCAAATTGGAAAGTTTAAGCCTACTACAAATTATACTCATTGTGAAATCTGAGTACTTGAACTAGCGATGTAGTAGTCACAATACTTCATACGATGATGTGTAAGGTCAAGGGAAAATGTTTAAAAAAAAGCACCCACCTTCCTTGTTATAACGAATCATTGTCAGTTGTTGGGGATGTTTGATCCCTAGAACTCGCTTGATAAATAAATATCTTTATTTTGGATTTATTTCATGGACCGATCAGTTGACCTTGAGATCACATTTCCCAACAGGAAAATCATTGGCTGTGATTCGTTACTGTGTCATTTTAGTGTGTGCTATTTTTTTGACTGTCCTAAGGATGTCTTTATGGCGAGTATAAATAAACTCAATTTGAGTGCTTGGTTTCATTCATTGTGTGCTGGCTGGGTGTTTGTAGAATACAATTTTTTAGTTCAGTCAGTCAGTCAGATGCAACTTAGAACTTCGTACGTAAGTAAGTACATCAGTTTATGTTGCCATAACACATCAGCACAGAGAGATCGAATTGTCAATTCAAATCGAATAGTAGTACAAGTAGTAAATGTGTTAGAAGTAATCGGAAAGCTTAGGATTAGAAGATATTATTCAAGAAGTATGATTCAGTGAGATGAATTTAGAAAGACACAACTAGCGGTGTTGACGAATCCAGAAGATTAGGATTTGAGAGAACACAAAGAATAAATGCACCGGTGCCATTGTGAACGGTTTTGAGCGATGTCGTTCAGGGTCTCTAACCATCGGTTATCATCTCGCGGACCCCAACCAGGTAGTCGACAACTATCGATATGCCTTAGTCCACTTGTCAATGACTTTATGGATTTCATTGACAAGTGTAATCATAACATATTCACTTAGACGATCTGATAGGTAAAAGAAAAATGCTGTACCCCTTATAATATCTCTTCTTTTCTTTCATATTTAACCAGTGCTCACACAATGATACTACTAATAAGCCAGCTAGCTAGCAGCTATTCAATGTGTTCGCGTCAACTCCTATAAAAGTGCTTACGTAGGCTGTAGTACTCAGCGGGGGATAGAGAGACATTGAGAGTAGTAGTGAAGAATGTTGATCACAAAAACGGGATCAATCTTTAATGATGTCATTCATCTTTACTGATTGATCTAGTGATAATTGTTGGCAAAAGGTTGGCAAAAGCCAATCGAGCCTTCTGTATCCGAGCTGATATTTCGTCAGTCACCAGGCCATCAGCACTGATGAGACTCCCCAGATAAGTGAAGCGGTCTATTTTTTTTACGTTATATCAAGATTTCTTGCTGATACATTTTGGTCAAGGGATCACAGTAGCCTACCTGGACGCTGGTTCATTGTTTTGTTCTCGTAATAGTTTAAGCATACCTAGAGACGAGCATAACACCAATGGAAGAATATTGTTGAGTAAATCAATGAACATGTAGATTATAACTATTAATAATATGAAACAAATACTTTTAGTTCTGTTCATATTCATCAGCAGTCTTGATTTATTTATTGTCATAGGTGTGAATAGTGGTTAGTGGTTGTCAGAAATCCATGAAGTCACTGACAAGTGGACTGGGTCATGTTGGTAGATGTAAGCTACCTAGTTGGGGTCCGCGAGACAATAGTCACCGATGGTTATATACCTTGAACGACATGGCTCAGAATCGTTTGCAATGACACAACAGGTGCATCCACTCTTTGTGTTCTATGAAATTCTAACCTTCTGAATTCCTCATCATCTCGATCTTTCTCCTTCTAAATTTATCTTACTGAATTATATTTCTCGAATAACATTTTCGCTCCCTAATCTTCTCCATTACTGCTAATACTTCTATTATTGCTATCACTGTTGGATTTGAACTGACAGTTGCGTCTCTGTGCTGACGTGGTATGGCAACGTGAACTGATGTACTTATGTACGAAGTTCTGTGTTGTATCTGTCTGTCTGAATAGTGGTTATCACTGGGATCCAAGATTTGTTAGCTGGGCGCGCATACTTGCATTTCAGATTTAAATAGTTCACTACGTGTCGTTTTTGCTTTATTTACTTAGTTGAAAACAAAATCACACCCAAAATTATTTTAGTAGTTGTATCTTTAATAGTTGTAGTCTCTCGTTTGTATGGCTTATTGATTTCATAATACGTTAAAGAATGTAACTCACTGATTTGATTTACTGAATTAGTTTTTCAACATTATTGTTCTATTATACTTTGATCCTTTTCTTATACTTAATATTTAAGTTGACTAATTGTAACTGTAAACTAGCGAATTAAATGAGAATAAAGCTTTTATAATAAAAATATCTTCGTACGGTTGACAGTAAGGAAGGTCTACGCTCTGTCTCCGAACGCTTTCAGGTGGCCACGCGTATATAGCTACCGTCCGAGAAGTCTTGCTCACTTTATCCTCGTGGTTAGGGCGTTGTTTACGAAGTTGAGGGGATGAACAGTTCATATATATGGCACTTAGACTGGGTTGTTGGGTACTCTGGCTCCACGTAGTATACATGGCCAGCATGATCTTAATGGAACGGATGGCGTATATACCTAGTGTTGACCAACAGATACCATCAGTTTGCATCATCCTACGCCGTTTCACTTCCTATTGGATTAGATAAAAGGCTCAGGGAGTGTAGATCTCTCAGAAAATCACCGACTTCGGTTTGAGCAGCCGGTTGGTATCCCATCCTAACACATACCAATTTATCTGGAGTGCCCTCATTTATATATCAACGTATATATTTGTTAATCACACTCATGTTACACTTGGATGTCACTGTTATTACGGAGTCGTTTACTTATGCGGCGCTTGTATTGTGTCACCATTTCATGTTTACAATTAACCTTCTTTTATTATGATACCGTTTTGTTTTTGTAGAAACAGTCATCTTCACGTCTTTTTCTTCTTCGACTTCGACTTTTTTTGTACAGTTTTTTTAACAAACAATAACTAAACTTTCGGATCAATCTTGATTAACAGTTTCTAGCCTGAAGTGTAGCCTAATTCATCCTCGTCAATACTCATCATGATTGAATGATGTTTGAGTATGTGTTTGCGTGTACCTACCCTACCTACTTAACTACCTACCAATTAAGTTACATTATGTGTGTCATGTTTGTTGGTTTACTTTGATTCGGTTTTGGTTTTGATGTTTTTTTCTCATGGCAATGTTTACACAATTCATCATCATCATCATCAAAGTTATTATGTGCCAAAATACTTTTATTTTTCTTAAATAAACTAAGAGATTATGTCTTATTATTAATACGATTATTGTTATTATTATTATTATTACTATTCTCATATCATCGTAATCTTTTTTATCGATCTTGTTGTGCATTTTATATCGAGTCAAATAAAACAACCAGTGAACTCAATTGCCAAATCAGATTGTGAAATTCTCCTTTTTTTAAAAATTAAAATTTCGCATTAAGAAAATGCACTTTATTTAAACAAAACTAATTATTGGTTTGTTTTTATTTTTTTGTTCATTGAAACAAACATTGAATTGATTCGACATTCAAATTTAAATTTAGACTTTAATTATTTCATAATTCAAATGTTTATTATTCATTCATTAGATAAGTTTATTGTTTGTTTGACTGAATGATTTCTATATACAATGTTCAATGATGAAATTGATGGGGTTTTTTACATTTGTTTTACTATTTGACCAATTTTCAAAATTGAAATCGTCAATGAATCATTATTAGACCACCATTACAAACTTGGAAGCACTAGATGACGGGATTCATCAGCGGTGTGCATTCATGACTCCTGCCACCTGCAGGACTGGAAGCCAGGACCTTCGGTCTCGTGTGCGAATGCTTAATTTCCAGACTACTGAGCCCTAGCATCCAACGGTGTTCATGTCTAACTTTGATCAGCCTAAGTTTTTTGCGCAGCCTCACTCATTGTCTTCGGTGAGTAACAATTGACTTACATCCGAACAAGGTTGAAGTCCTTTGGTCACGACTTCTCACTGAAACTCCGTGAAACGTCTTCATGAAGCTACTCATTAGTGAGCACATACTATGATTCTCTAAAATGAGGAATATTCAAATTTTATAATCTTTGGAATTTATATGGAATTAAAATTAACCATGCTCAATGATACTGACGTGAAGTTTTTTTTGACTGACTATCAATGAATGATTTAACATGGCTCAAAATCGTTCGTAATGGCGCCGGTGCATTTATTCTTTGTGTTCTCTCAAATCCTAATCTTCTGGATTCTTCAACACCTCTAGTTTTGACTTTCTAAACTTTTCTCACTGAATCATACTTCTTGAATAATATCTTCTAATCCTAACCTCTCCGATCACTTCTAATACCTTTACTACCTCTATTACTATTGGATTTGAATTGACAATTACATCTCTGTGTTGATGTGGTATGGCGACATGAACTGATGCACTTACGTACGAAGTTCTACGTTTCATCTGACTGACTGTACTTCACTTTATTACCATGTTCAATGATGAAATGGTGATTTTTTCTTTGATCATTCATGATCAATTTTATTTCAATGTTCTATACCTTGAAATGTTCATATCAACCTAAAATGAAGCATTCTGTATGACTGTTATGATTACGTAATAGTGAAGGATTGTTGTGTAATATATATGCGGCTAACTGATTACGCAGCTTCCACTCTCCTCCTTGTATAATTTTCAGTGTATTTGGATTTGATTTTTATTGTAAGATCTAGTATTTTGAAGTTTCGTTAGACGCCAAAAACATTTAAACATCAGACTTACTGTTTAATTTCCAAACTACCATTAGTAATGCAGTTCACCAATAACCTACAATTATAGTTGTAAATTATGGTGAATTTATCGAAATGATTCAACAAGTCTTGAGTCGTAGATGCTCACTTCTGGGAAGTAGTAGTTGCCTACCAGGATAAAATAGCTCAGCCCCAGTCAGCCAGTCAGATGCATCGTAGAACTTCGTATGTAGTACATCAGTTTATGTTGCCATACCACATTAGCACAGACACGCAACTATCATTCGAATCCCATAGTGGTAAAGATAGTAAGAGTACTACTGTTAATAGAGAGGATTAGGGTTCCAATATATTATTCAAGAAGTATAATTCAGTGAGATAGATTTAGAAAGACAAAAGTAGACGTGTTGACGAATCCAGAAGATTAGGATTTGAGAGAATACAAAGAGTGGAGGCACCTCCGCCATCGCAAACGATTCTGAGCCATGTCGTTCAAGGTCTCTAACCATCGGTTACTATCATCTCGCGGACCCCAACCAGGTAGCCTGCATATACCAACACGACTCAATCCACTTGTCAATGACTTCATGGATTTCTGCCACGTTTTGGTTTGGCCGCCCCTAACTTTCTCCCAACCTATTCCTACACTGCAAAACATAGCTCGTCGAGGCAGTCCATGGTTAGGCATACGCAGCACATGTCCCAACCATCTCAAATGATGAAGTTTCACCAATTCATCTATTGATCTACCATCCTTACGTAGTACTCGCTTCCTAATAGCAGCATTGCTTACTTGGGTGTCCCACACAAGATACACGAGCAATGCTTCGAAGACATCTATGATTGAATACTAGTAAACTACGAATATCTTCTGCTCTCACCGGCCATGTTTCGGATCCATATATATCAACCCCAGTACTTTCTGATTTTCAGCTTTGTGGTACAATTGTTAAGCTTATTTTCCCAGTATTATTGATATCAATTCAAACTTATTGATTGACAATGTTTTTATGTGTTCACGCCTTTTCTTCTCTTTTATTTTTGTTGTAGCTTGTTTCTTTTCACATTATCTTGTATATAATCCTACTACTACTAATACTACTCATAATAACAATCAGAATATCAACTCAAAATTAACTCATCAACCAAATTTAATTTTAATCAGTGTAAATGGTTTAATTTGGTATCAAGGTAACCCATTAGCTGATACACAGGATCCAGATCCATTAGGACAATTTGATTGGTTACGTCAAACATTTCAATGGGCTAGAAAACGAAAAGATAAAGTAAGATTATTTTGTTTGCTTTTTCTTTTAGCTATTCTAAGTTGTACTATGCTACAATGTTGTTCATGGTGTGTACTCTGACAAGCCTGCGGTGATAATTCGAACTTATACTGTGTTGTCTCTTACAGCCAATTATTTGACACAGTCTTCCAAACTATTTGTCAATATCTGTGTCTCATTTCATGTTGCCACACATCACATTATCTTCTGAATTGATCATGACCGGTTTTTTCCTCTTTTTAAATTCATTTCACTGAGATATATTTCTAGAATCATACTTTCGATCCCTAATCTTTCCTATGACCGCTAGGATTTCCACTACCTCTGCTACTCTCGGGTTTGTATTGATGATTCCATCTCTCTCTGCTAATTTGGTAATTTCAGCTTGAACATATGTACGTATATGCGAAGTAGTACGTTGTAGCTAACTGTGACTAATTTTGTCTCATGTGTTGTTAGGAGTTTGACGGCGGAGGTCACTTCTTGGCTGCCCACACCGTGAAAGGGTGTTTCTTGAGGAACCTGAAAAAGGGAGTTCGATCAGTGTTGTTCTTAACAACCTGGTAGCGTGACCGCTGATCCCAAGAGACAGCTGATTGAGGCCGGTTGTGCACAGCGTTTTTACGTGTTGAAGTGGCAGCTCCGCTGACCAGCTGACTGAGTAAAGTAATAAATATGCTATCGAAAACAAAAAATCTGAAGACTTAACTTAATCGCTTAACAAAAATGTATTTTGAACTCAAAACAGAAAAATGATATTCAAGTCAACATTTGAGAAGAAGGTAACAGAGACTTAATGCAGCCTTTCTGTAATATACCAGATGAAATTCACTTCTGTTTGCGAAGAAAACACGTATTGTTTATTTACCAATCTCATATATCTTTTGATCTTCAAAATACAATCTGATCACGCCATGCATTACACAATCTGCTGATACTCTTCTGTGTGTCTGACAACAACTTCTAAATGACACCTACGCTTCATACTACTTATAAGCCATCTAATGAGTAGCATCCATTACATTACGATAATGTCGAACTTTTTTTCACTCTGTAACGTCAATTCATTACCTGCTTCGTTTGTTTTTTGTTTCTTATTGTCCCCGAAGGTTTTACTTGTTAGTCATTTTCCTCCTGGTGCTTCAGAGAATGCTCCACAATATTATCGTTTTCTTCGTACACAAATGAATGATCAATTTGTGAATTTATTAATTGAAAATGCTGATTTATTAATGGCTGGTTTATTTGCTCATGAACATGTGGATAGTTTTCGTTTATTAGTTTCGAAATCAAGTTAGTACATCTATAGATATATATAAGATGATATAATTTTTATTTGTATGTTCTGTATGTGCCAATTGTCTGAAGTTGTTTTCAAGTGGAAGAATGGTTAAATGAATAATTCTTATGGTTAAGGTCATGTGTGTTTTTGTTTTAACGCTTGGTTAAATAATTCTCAGCTAAATCCTATTGCTTAGTATTCTCTGACCATAATACACTGGACAAGTTCCAAAGAATCAAAAACACGGTTGAACATGAAAAGATTATATTCTAAATAGCAAGGTTAAATGGAAATAAGAAAGCGAAGGCGAAATAAATACAACGTTAGATTCTTTTTTCATAAGAAGATTCTGGATTGTAATTCACGTGATCGACTGGATTAGATTTACCCAATCAGCATGCAGCTAACAACACGAGAATTTTCTACCCTGTTCTCCAAGAATCGATCAGGCGCTGATTGGATAGGAAATTAACCAATCAGCGCGCAGCAACGTACTCATGCTTTAATTCAATATATGTCCCACTAACAGTTTTTATGTGTGCTCTGAACACATTAGGCTTGTACGCTATATTACGAATTACACACACATAAACTTGGGGACATCTAAATATTTATACGTCACATAAACCAATGTATGTTTGAGTAGGCCGAGATATTGTCCTGCTGATCAAACTGAAACAGGTGATTTTTTGAGGGATCCACACTCCCTGAGTCTTTGATCTAAAGATCTAATCATCGAGAAAGTAAAGTGAAGTGATGTAAGGATATACAGTTTGTTTCATCAGGATCTGTGAAGTGAATGTGCACGGCCATTAATTCGAACGTCTGCGTATATCTCATAAATGTGTTGTTCATCCTCTTAATTTTGTAAACAACGCCCTCACAATGAGTAGAAAGTGAGTAGGACGTCGCTGACAGTAGCTGTATGCTACATGGTCACGTGAAAGCATTTTGAGATAGAGAGTGTAGTCTCTTTACTCTCGGCCGTATCAGAATATTTGGAGTTGTAAACCAGATTGATAGAAATTGCTCATCTAAACAATAGGTCCAGTCACTGCATATAATTCAATCATTTGCGTAGACTCTGGGAACTAGACGTGATCCCATCCAACTGGTCTCAATCACTGATTGTACCGATCTGTAAAAAGGACAAAAGTCCTCTTATGAAAACTGCAGAGGAATCAGTTTAACTAATATAGTGTCTAAAATGGCCTCGATAATACTTCAACGCCTAACTTAGGGTTTCTGAAGAGCTGACTCGAGTAAATCAGGGTGGGTTCAGACCTAGATGTAGATGTATAGACCACATATTCACACTTCCACGGTTCCTAGAACATAGATGCATTTTTGCGTCCAACAAAAGTTGTCTTCGTTGGACCTTAAAGAGGTATTCGACTCTGTCAATCGTGAGGCTCTATAGCTGTGTCTGTCATTGAAAAAAGTATCAAAGAAACACACTACTGTTCGATTGAGAGCTTACGACGAACTTTTATCATAATTGATTACTTCAAATGGTGTCCGTCTGGTCTGTCCATTTTCTTCATACTTGTTTAACTTTGTCATCGATGTGCTTTTAGATACGTCACTTTCATCATCTGACTTTTCAGGTGTTGACCTTCTAATAGAAGATAAATACACAGCAACCAATCATACAGCCAAGAATTTTCCTAGTGGGAAATGAAATCTCAAGGTCAACTGATCAACCCATGCTTGCAAACGTGAAATCCAAAAATAAGGCATTGATGAAGCGAGTTCTGGGGATCTAACATCCCCCAACAGTATCTCAACTTATCATGTTATATCCTCTATCATCGAACACCACTGGTCGAGTGAGAGCTTATGGTGAACTGTCACGGGAATTCTCTACTTCATGTGGTTTCCGTCAGGGATGTCCACTCGCTCCATTCTTGTTTAATTTTATCATAGACATGCTCTTAGAAATGTCATGTTGGTAGATGTAGGCTACCTGGTTGAGGTCCGCGAGACGATAGTCGCCGGTGGTTAGAGACTTTGAATGACATGACTCAGAATCGTTTGCAATGCGCAGATGCATCCATTTTTGCTATCACTCTTGGATTTGAACTGACAGTTGCGTCTCTGTGCTGATGTGGTATGGCAACATGAACCGATGTACTTACGCACGAAGTTCTGCATTGTATTTGTCTGTCTATCTATCTCTATCATTGATTTGTTGTCATTAATTAAGTTTTCCTTATGAATGAAATAAAATTTAATGTTATTATTATCATTATTATTGTTTTCTCTATTTTCAGATGTACCATTGGCTTCGTTATTTCTTATGCCATCTATATCTCCATTAATGATTTATGGTTTAGGTGATTTTAATCCACGTATTCGTTTATATCGATTTCAACGTTCCACTATGTCCCTATTAGGTTATTCACAATATTATTTTAATTTAGAAAATCAATTATCCCAATCCCCTGATCATCAACATCATCGTAATTGGCAATTAGAATATGACACAAAAGAAACGTATCATTTAATGAATTTGTCCGCGAACTCGTTGAATGAATTATGGAATCATTTTCTTGATATCAATAATAATACTGATTCTTATTGGTCAAATTATTGGAATTATGAATTAGGCAATCGATCGCATAGTTTAAAACCAAATTATCTTACAGATCAAGGTTTATGCCCAAAAGTTCGATCACAATGTCGTTGTGATCATTTATGTGCTATGCGATTTTTAATTTTTACTGATTTAGATAAATGTTTAGAATTATGTAAACAACTTGTCGTGGTGACCAATGGTCGTGGCGGTGATGGCGGTAGTGATGGTCTTCAACATCCAATGTTTATGACTGGTGATGCCAATAATCATAGTACAAACAAACAACCCAACACTGATTTTAATCATTCTTCAATAGACAATGAAACAATTACTGTCAATCCAAATGAACGTAGTAGTCTACCGTACATTATTGGTGTCATAGTTGCATTTTTAGTAGTATTAGTTGGTGTTGTACTGATTGTTAATCGTGAAGTATGCAATCGACATCGAGGTGCTGGAGGTTATCATCAACGTCGTTCATTATTAGCTAGTATGATAGGTTACAATGGTACTAATAGTACTACTACTAATACTACTCCTGCTGGTGCAGGAGGCGGAGGTATCGCGGGAAATGGTTTATTTTTAAATCCAATCAATGGTGGTACACTACATGGAAGCCGTTCAATCACTGGAGCAACAAATAATTATTGTACTAGTGGAGGTGGTGGTTCATGTATTGAGCTACGGACCGCTTTTCATCCATCCTATTATGAGGATGAAATTGAACCGGAATATTTAAATAAATCAGTCACATCATTGAATGCAATCAACTTCTCTCACAATAATAATAATAATAATAATCATACCACAGCCAATACAGTACATGATCATACTAATCAACAAGGCGGAAATTACATTTCTCCCTTTGGACATTATAATAACGCTGTTCTATCACCATCTCGTACAACTTCTTATTATGAAAATCATAGTGATAACAGTCGAAGTAGCAGTGCTAGTAGTAGTTATTGTAATAGTCGACGTAATAATAACAATAATAGTGTTAATAATCAGAGAATAATACAGAATTACATTGATAAACGTTACTCCGCATCGGATTATGCATATTTAAAAAAATATCTATCAAATCATATTAATCCAACAGATAAAATGTTATATATGGTCAATCAATTGTTCGACTGTCATGAACAATCGAATCGAACAAATCACCGGCATCATCATCATGATACTACTACTAATATCAGTAATAAACTTTTATTATCAACTGATGAGAAAAAAGGTAGTAGTCATACAACATCGGAACGATCATCAAAAGATGAATATCATGATGCACATCCTCGTCAACAACACCACCAACACCAACATCTTTATCAGAATAATAATTGTCTACCGGAAGATTATTATGCTGATGATGAAGCATTCGGTGATGAAGACTGTCATGATCGTCTACCACATTACAATCATCAACATTATCATGTACCGAAGCATCAGAATACAAATGAAAATATGATCGCAGATGATGATGATGATGATGTTGATGGTCAAGATAAATGTGAACTGTCAACATCATCACGAGCTGGCGGTTATCATCATCAATTAACCGTGGACACCGATAAAAAGTTCCAATTAGATCAAATAAAAAATCAGTTTAATTGTCATCGTAGTCACCGTCATCAACAGCAACAACAATCTAAGAAGAATATTGATGATCATCATGATGATGGTGATGTTGATGAAGATGATGACGAGGACGACGACGATTCAATAAATGATCAACTATATCATTCAAATCAAGAATCACAACTTCTTGATCCATCATCATCTACACTGAATGATGTTGTCAGTGGAAGGAAACATTCAAAAGATCGTAAATTTATTTTTAATCGAAAAAAATTCCATAATCCATTAAAAAATGCTAAACATTTTATGAATCCTTCATCAATTGCATCATCTTCCTCGTCTTCATCTTCGTCTACATCTTCAGCTGCTTCATCATATCCTTCATCATCAGTGAAATTGTCAAATCATATGAAACATAGTCAATCAATGAATTTCAATAATATCAATAAGAATAGTAAGGAAAATGATGTTGTTGTTAGTAGTAGTAGTAGTATAACTACGAATCAAAAAACTAATCATCCTCCTCCTACATATATTATGAAACATAATCCAAATCCACTGTTGACTTCTTCTTCATTAACATGTTTATCAAATCAAACAAATCATAAACAACTTAACAGTAGACAACACTATCAACAGTCACCACCACAACAGCACCAACACCAACAATCTCAATCAAATTATACCTCACCATCTAGACAACGTTTCTATTTTCCATTATCAATTTCATCATCATTGATCGCCGATAAAAACAAATCGAATCAACTACCGCCAACAACAACATCATCTTCATCAGTTTTATTGACTGGAAATCAATCAGCAGCATTGCAACATTATGATCATGTGACAGATAATACGATGACCACCGATTTCCGCCCAATCGATCATCATAATCATACTAATAATAGTAATAATCATAATCATAGTAGAATTTCTTTTCCTAATATTCCTACAAATTTATCAGTTTTAAAAATTCCAGGTTATGATTATGTTCGAATGTCAAATTGATGAGATTGTAATTGTTTAACTACTGTCTGTTTGTCTGTTTGTTTGAAGAAAAAATAAAACATGCATGCATGTGTATGTCTTTCTAAATTGAACATTGTTATTAATGTTGTTGTTGTAAATATATTGGCATTTGCCCCTCGCCTTCTCACTCTCGCTCACTCTGTCACTCACTCATCTTTCTCTTTTACAAACATGTACACATTTATAGGATTAATTTAAATGAACCAAAAAGTTATACAAACACATAATGATTCTTCGTCTTTGATTTTATTCCTCTTGTCTGTCCTTTTTTTCATTTCTTATTTGAAATAATCTTGGGTAGGTGATGGTAGGTAGGTGAATGAATCAGTGAATGAATGTGTATGCATGAGATCTTATTCCTATATTCTCCCATGACATTTGTTTATACTCCTCTGCTCAATGTTCAATTTATTTCATACCATTTTAATCCGAGCGCGCCAGCTCAAATTCTTTTTTCTTTTTTTAAAAAAACTCTGACTGAATTCATGCAGCATCTATGCGAATGACTGTTTTGTTTTTTTTATTTACCAATAAGATAGTCAGTCATATTTATATATATACATATATAGTAAATTTGAATTAGTTTATTGTGAAATACAATCAGAGGTACTCAGTGTATTCTGTTTTAGTTCAACAGCAGCATAATCGATGCTAGAATTCTGGTGTGTGTAGTTAGTTGTACCTGTTTACTGCTTGCTCACTGTACAGAATTTTCTTCATTTTTTTTTCCTTCTGAAAACAAGAAAATCCAATCATCAGTGTAATTATTGATTTATGGTGGAAATATTCTCTTAGTTGATTGGATGATTTTGTTATTGATTGATCTATTGACCGACCGATTGATTGATTGGTTAATTGATTGATTTTATTTTCTACTGATCATGTTTTTCTATTGCCCTAATTTTCCTCAATTTTTATCATATTTACATATATATATACGTGTATTCTATGTAATTTATTCAGGCAATGGTCTGTTTTTAATGTAATCAATACCAACCATGAACCAAATTAAAAATGAACACAATCTATTTGTACATATATACATACATACATACATGCATATATATGTATAGATTTAGTGTTTATCTTAAGTTTCTTTTTTGGGGGGGTTGCGGGCGAAAGTGAAAAGTGTTATTGCATTCAATTTGTAACGCTGCTACGTATAGCTGCTATTCAGTCCTAGCGGCGTCAAATTCAAATATCCCACCCCATACGACCCAAAATGCTATTTCCGAATCTCCTAGATATCAGAACGCAACACCGTGGAATGGAGTTGTTTATTGGGTCGAATACAGAAGAAGAGGTAGGCAGGAGAAACGGAATTATTCAGTCTTTCAGATAGTGCGTATTTATACATTTTTTGGTCGAATAGGAAAGAGCATCAACGTCTGTGGCATTGACAGTTTAGGACGACCGATAGGAAAGAACATTTGAAATGACATTGACAGTCCAGATGACCAATAAGAGGCAACATTGAAGTATTTGACCTTTACGGTTAGAACGATCATAATTTCGCCCAATAGAAATCGATTAAATAGGATTGTACTTCTAAAAATAGTATTCTTAGGATATTTGGTTAATATCCTTACATTTGACTGTTATACATCGGAATAAAATGATTTAGAAATAACTAGACAATTGTAGATGAAATAACATATGTGTATGTGCACACGATTGTCCGTGAGACGATAGTCACCGATGGTTAGAGACTTTGTACGACATGGCTCAGAATCGTTTGCAATGGAGCAGGTGCATCCACTCTTTGTGTTCTCTCAAGTTCTAACCTTCTGCATTCCTCATAATCTCTATCTTCCTGCTTCTAAATTTATCTTACTGAATTATACTCCTCGAATTATATCTTCGCTCCCTGATCTTCTCCATTACTGCTAATACTTCTATTATTGCTATCACTGTTGGATTTGAACTGACAGTTGCGTCCCTGTGCTAACGTGGTGGTATGGCAACCTGAACTGATGTACTTACGTACGAAGTTCTGCGTTGTATCTGTCTGTCTATGTCCACACGATGGATGATATTTTAAGAGCTAAGACGTCGTTGACTGATGTACGTGATTGGCTTTGTTCAATGGGCCTAGGTTGTTTATCATCTTACTCATTCAGTTTCTGGTTGTGAGATCAGAATATGTATTAACTAAGAATTTACTAAGCTTATCGAATCTGCGATAAATTTAGACAAGGATGCTTCATTGTTCAGCATCAAAAAATAATCTACTTACGCATGGTTTCTCATTGGTTGTTAGCTGTTAAATCACTATGATTTTCACATGTACGTTTTGTAGTCGAACGCTCTTATGCGCCAACTGTTTAACTGGTTCCTTCTTTCACTACAAACACGTAAAGCGCACAAGGAGTATGGAAAAACACGTTACGTCAAAAACAAATTTAAAGATATTTATAAAATCTTAAGTTCGTGGAAACAATTGAACGATCGTCTAGGATGAATCATCAATTCAGTAATTTCTCAGTCAAAATGATGCCAACATAATTAGATATTTTCAAAAACTCTTTTGAAAGTTTCTAAAGACCAATGAAATTAATCGTAGTAATTTTTGTATTTTCTGAAATTTTGTAAGATTTCTATCAAGGAATTGTCGAAGTTGCTTAATATGAAATATTTCCATTTCATCAAGACATTTTTACAAGCACCCATTTTATTTCTATGATCGCTTTCGTATCTTAAACGTTAATTAATCGTCGTCGATTGAGTATAATGTTACACAAACTGTAGTTGACAACACAATAGAGTAAAGTCAAATACAAATGTTTTATAAGACTTAAAATTAGTGTTTTAATAAATCTTTGGATATAAAATCGAACTTCGTACGTACATCAGTTCAAGTTCCAATATCACATTAGCACAGAGATGTAATTGTCAATTCAAATCCAATAGTAGTAGAGGTAGTAAAGGTATTAGCAGTAATCGGAGAGATTAGGGTTCGAAGATATTATTCAAGAAGTAGAATCTAGTGAAATAAACTTAAAAAGATAAAGTGATGAAGAATTAAGAAGTTTAAGATTTTAGAGAACACAAAGAATGAATGCACTTGAGTATACAATGTAATTTATTTCATTTAAACTGGTAAATATTGATACAAAGAGGTGAGTTAATATTTATGCATCGCATCAATTAGTGAATTTCTCAGGGAGTTGGGATACTACCCGATCTGGATCAACTGGTGGTCTACTTAGAAGAATCTTTGATCCAAAGGTCTAATACACGAAGCAGCTTATAAACGCTACTGGTGCCTAACTATAAGTTCATACGCCATTCATTCCATCAGTATCCGTGGAGTGCATATGCCTTGTCATTAGTTTAGAATGAAAGTTTTATATCTCCCTTAAATGAATTCTTTATATCCATCAACCTGGTTTAAGTCCGAATCAGATATTCGTCTTTTTATCTCATAAATTTTGTGAACAATGTTGTAAGAAAACAGTCAATAGCACCTTGACCGTGGCTGTTAACATGGCGATATGAGAGAGGACTCTCGACCATACAAGAATATTTAGGAGCAAACAATCATCTTACACAAAGTGCTTATCTTTTTTCTGCGCATATATTTAAATGTACTCAACTGCTGCACAAAATGTAATTTTCTAACCTCAACACAACTGAATCTTCTTTCTACTGATATCTGATTTACTAGAAGTATGATATTTATGTGTATTGATTTCAAAGTGTTGAACACTTTTTTCAAAAAAAATCATTTTAAACTGTTTAGTATAGTATTACAAATCTACATTCTTTCAAAAAAGTCAATAATTCATTTCATTTTCAAAAGTTTACAGTTAGTTATCATCTTTTGGTAATAAATATTTCATTGAACGGTATTATCTTCTGATGTCAATGTGTTTTTTTCCATCACTGATTTCTCATTGATTTATCACAGATAAATGTCTACATTTTGAAATAACAACAAATACATCCATCTGTCTAATTGCATGACATTTTATGTATAATTGTCCGTTTATTTACTTATTCAGTTTCTTCTCTGTCTATCGGTCTATGGACACATAGATATGTATATGAATAATGTGTGTGTGTTACCAATATGATGTAACTAATATTTTGGCATAGTTAGGAAGGAGTAAGTCAATATACTACACACACACATTGATTTATTGATTGATCGATTCACTGATTCACATTATACTACTAATTAATTATACTGATGTTATTATTGTAAACCTTTTCTTCACATGAACTAATTTTTAACTGATTTACACTACACTACACTACACTATTGTTACTACATTTTTATTATTGAAAATGTTTACAGACCACTACTACTACCACTACTAACTAGTATATAATTAACATATTTGTCTGGTTTGTTCAATAAGGCGTATGTGTTGTATAGATTGTTCGTCTGTACACTTTGACTGTATACTACTGATAAAAATAAACATTTCCAAAGAGAAAGTATTGGTTCATTTGTCTTGTTAAAGTAGACTGGTTTGTTTTTTCATTCTGATGTAATCATGAATATAACACATTAGATTGAACCAAAGGTTGTTAAGTTTGTGACCATTAACATATATAGATAGATACTTGGTCATTGATTTGAAAAATTGAGCATTCTTCACACTTGATAATAACTAGTAGCTGGTATGTCTTGCTTAATTGATGATGACCATCAATTTAGATTATTAATGTGTATCAGCATGAAAAATTTTTTACGGGGTCACAATAAAATAGTACTTGATTATTGAAAAAATTTTTAAAACGAAATATTTATCATATGAAAAAATATTTAAATTTTTTGGCTGAATTAAAACAAATGCCTATATTTCAATTGTAAGCGCATGAAATTGTTTCTAATGATAAATGTTTAAACAATTTTTTTTTAAAAAAAAATATGTCAATTAATGAATCACGTTAAAAGTATGCATGATTCTGTTGAATAACATTATATGCACGAAAAATATACTGAACGTTCATTGGTCATCATTTCTTTCACCTTCATTCTCATTTCTTATTGGCTATTTTTAGTTCTATAGATTAATAATCACACTATCTGAATTGAATCAATGAGTGTTTTAGTTTGTGACTGACTATACATACAATTTAAATGATGATGATTGTATTTTCTAACAGCCAATTAGATAAATTTTGTGTGAAATATTCATTCTGTAAATAAATTAAATGATCAGTTTTTATCAATTTTTTTTGAAATTATTGTATATATGCATAAAATAAATGAGGATAGAATTGATTGTTAAAAATGTATCGATAAGTTTATTATTTCGTTTATTTCATTGGTTCGTAAAATCAGTGTGAAATTATTAATATGAAATGACGATTGTATATGGTTCTAATCGTATTGGTATTGATCGAAGGTAATTACTAATGAGATTCAATGTTTTAGCCGAACATACTCTGTGTATTCACTTGGCGTAGGCGAGATATCCGTTTGCTGACTAAAGGACGAGTGTACTGTGCAGCAGTTTGCTCCGTCCTAC